AAGATTAAATTCTCTTATCCCTGTAAAAAGTATGTCCATGTCTTTCTTGCACTGGAGTGCCCAGAAATGGACACAGCACTCCAGATATTGTTACTCCAAGCATCAAATAGAGGGGTAGGGTCACTTCTCTTGATATTCCGGTTGTACTTTGACTAATGCAAGCCAGCATGCTGTTGGTCTTCTTTGCCTTAGGGAAATACTTCTGATTTCCATTCAGCTTGTCCACCGATGACTCCAGGCTTTTCTCTACACTGCTTTCTAGCCAGCCAGATCAAAGCCTGTTCTTTTGTATGGGAATATTCCATCCCATACACAGGACTTGAGTTTGCCTTCACTGAAGGTCATTAATGTTCCCCTCAGGCCTTTTCTTCCAACCTGTTAAGGCCTCTCTGAGCAGCAGCCTGGCTCTCTGGTGTATTGATCACTCTTCCAGTTTGGTATCATTCACAAATTTTCAGAGAGTGCCATTTGTTCCATAGTCCAGTTTGTTAGAGAAATTGGGCAGTACTGACCTAAATACCCCCCGCTGAGGCTGAGGGATAGCTCTGGTGACAGACTGCCAATTGGACTTTGTACCACTGATTCAATCCTTTGAGGTCAGCTGTACAGCTAATCTTCCACTCCCTGTATTATCCACTTATACAGTCTATCTTTCACCACTGTGGCCATGAGGACATTATGGAAGACGATATCAAAGCACGTGCTAAACTTAAGGTGAAAAGCATCCACAGCTCTCCCCTTACCCATAGTGTAAGCAAGTCAGGTTAATCAGGCATGATTTGCCCTCACTAAGTTGATGCTAGCCATTCCTAGTCATCTCCTTGTCTTTCATGTGCTTTCAAATGGCTTCCAGGATAGTTTGCTCCATAAACATATGGGGGTCTGATGTGAGGCAGGCTGGCTGGCCAGTAGTTGGCCAGACCTCTCCTCTTGTGTTTTTGATGTTTACCTTGTCCAGTCATCAGGAACCCTACCATGTCCTCATGCCTTACCAAAGATTATAGAGAATGACCTCACTGAGGCATATATTACTGTATGATCTTCAGATGTATCTCTTCTAGTCCCATAGACCTGGATAAGTTTATTCTGCTTTGCACCATATCTCAGTTCCTAAAACATTGGTTTGGATATTACTCAAATTGACCCAGGCTGCCAAAATGAATAATAAAGATTCTAAGATTTGCCTGATTTTGATTAATACCCTTAAAATAACACCATGTTCTTTTGATCGTAGAGATCAAATGAAATCGCAAAAAAATGGAGGCAGATTTTAGAGGCACCTGTCTTCAAGGCAGTTTTTCAGTGGCTTTATGATATAATTTGCCACCTTCAAAAAAAACCCCACTAGATTTGAATAGAAGCTTACCTTTTGAACAGTTGTGTTTACCTGTTTTATAAAAGAAACTGAAATTTAGTTTTCCAGAAATATACCTGACCCATGGCACATGTTCAGAGTTTCAGGCATTTAATAGCATTCAAAGCCAAATACATCCTGTCTGCTGTCAGAAGTCTTTTTAAGAAAGTGACCGAGCTCCATTGCCACCTGGTATAGATTCTGCTTTCGGAATATCCTAATTGAGAAATCATAGGTATAGCATGTTGGTAATGATTTTCGTTACTTCTTGCCTACAGACCCAGGGAGCGGATTCATGAGACATTGTCTCAGAATTGTTCACAGTGTAGAAACACAATGTAAGGTGTCCCAGACTGGGGGGATGTCCTTTTTTTAGATCCCTACTTCTGTATGAGGTTTCTGGTGAGAATTTAATAGGATGTAAATGTGGCTGCAAACATCACCTTAAATTCACAATAAAGTCTAATAAGTTGAAGTGATGAGCTTTATCATAATTTGAAAGGAATCTAAATGTCAGTTACATGACACTGCTTTGTGTCTTCCAGTTTTTGTTCTGCTCCCTCGTCAGAAAAAAGTTGTGGCAAAAAGTGTGAAAGGAAAGAAAAAAAAAATAAGCTGAGGTTGCCTTTCACAGAAAAAAAAACAAAAAACAACAAAACCAAACCAAGCAAAACAGTGGAAGATGGTCTGTAGGATCAATACCATCATGAAGATCTGATCACATTTTGAACATCCATTCTTTCCCTTCCATATAAGTATAGGTTCTCCAGCATGAAATAAGTCATTTACTTCTGCTCTTTGAGACCTAAAACTTATATTTGTCTTTCAAATATATACTAAAGTTTGATAGTGGTGAGCTGAAGAACGAGTTGAATCCCTAACAGAAACAAAGGTGGTGACATGCTTCAGTTTATGTTATATATAGGCCTCAGCTATTCTATTTGATGTAGCTCACAATACCTCTTTCCCACATTCTGCTGTACAAATTCACTTTCTTTTACCAGTGTTTTCTCATGACCTTGAATTTAAGGAATTTCATTAATACATCTCTCCAATTATCCAAAACATTAGCGGTACTGTCAGATGTCCTCTTGCTTGCTTGGATCTTCATTCTCTTAGGGTTTGTCATGTATTAGAGTCACCAGGAAAGTTGAAGGGTATTTATCCTTTTTGGTTTGTGTTACTAAATCTCTGTGAAAATAAGAAAAGCTGGCTTGATTCTCTCTATTTATACATAGAAATAACTCTTGTTCACTGAATGACCCTTACCCTATAGATCCAGTCATCCATGCCATGGGAAAAAAAAAAATGTTGTGTCTATTCATTTTCACTGGATGTCATCCAGAAAGCAGAAATATTACTGCTTATGTTCATCTCGTGTTGATGAACTGCAATAAAGGACTCTTCATATGCCAAAGTTAATCTGCTAACGTAAGATTTACTGCTCTTTGCAGTGCCATGCCAAACTTCAGCACTTTTTCCTGGTTTTTAACCTTAACTCTTGTTATTCATGGCAAATCAACCTACCATTAAACTGTACCCTGATATAAAAGTTTTAAATGACCTGAAACCTTTTTCCTTCTTTGAAACATAAAATCGTTTGATCCATTGGCCTGTGAGGACACACATATTCACACACAAATGAAATGCTAACACTGTCATTTACAGAAGAATTCTTCAAGCAGCAGTTTCAGCCTGTAAGTCTATGAAATAGGCCTTCACGGGGAAGTAAATGAAAATCAGAAGTATATTACTTAAACAGTTAGGTTCAGGTCCTGCAAGTCATACCTAAGGTGAGCAAGAATTCCCCCTGAAAATAAGGAGTTGCAGACTCAGCTCCTTTTGCAGAAAGCTGATCCAGAAAACATGTCAATCCATTTGTTAGCTGTACTTGCTGGCAGTTATATGCAAATATAACTGATTGCTTTTTCTACGTGATGTTATTACATAGCACACATGGCATAAAAAAGCACTAAAATCTATCTAGTAGAGCATGTATGAATATATATGAATGGCAGAGTTCTGTCCCATGCTGTTGATATATGTGTGCCCCAACCCCTTGCTTTTGGTTTGTTAGTAAGTGCCAACAGCTTATTCCACAACTGATGTAGAGGTCTGTGCTAGTGCAAAAGGAAACAAGAAAAACAGTTACACTTTTATTCTCTTATTTCAAAGCAGTGATGCCCCTCCAAAGAGCCAGTCTGAGTTCACCTTGAGGGCACTAGCAGAGGTTACTTTAAAATAAAATCTTTCAGTACTAGTCAATTGAAAGAGAAAGCCTTTTCTGTTCTGTGTAAATAATTTTTGATCAATGTACTGTTCTAAGGCAATTCCCGATTAGCATATCCTATAGCTTATTGTCAGACCCTGTCCACAGGGTACAATTGTGACACAGGCTGTGAATATTCAGCAATAGGAGTCTGTAAATCTGAGCAAGTAATGACAAAGCTTCTTTAGGGAAGGCCAGAATGAGGTGAGCTGAGTAGAATAATGGCAGTCTTGGGGGGCAGGGAAGTATTTTAATTTAATCAAAGACAGAGCAAGTGAAAAAGATACTATTAAAAGGACTTGCTCTCTGAAGTAAATACTTCTCAGATAAATGCACAGTTCAGACTGACATGCTAAATTGGCATCCTTACATCCACTCTATTCTCTGGATCAAAGCAAAGTTAATCATTTCACTTGCCTTTTATCTACTTTATGGATGTGTGTGTGGGTATGTGTGGGTATGTATGTGTACAGTGTACGCATGTGCACACACAAGTAACAGAAAATAATGGCAATGAGGGAGGGTTTTTTGCTTTTTCTGTAATGAAGTTGAAGATTATTTTTAATGTGGTGGTACCTAATAGCCATTGCCCACTGTTGTAAAAGCTTAGAAGTATTGCAGCTTTCTCTTGCCTGTGTTTGCCCAGCCACCCTTCTACATACTACAAGCACTGGGAAATTTCAATGACACAGCTTGGAATGGGTTCAGTGACCTCAATTATGCCCTCCCACCCACTCCAAACTCCTTTCAATTTGCAAAAAGCTTTAAGTGGACAAAACCCAGATGCCTTTTGCTTGTAGTTCAGTAAGAACAGATTGGGCATGTAGATTCTTGTCAAAGTGATATATGTAGTTCATTTTCCATTAACTCTTTCTTAACTAAGGATTTTAAATTCTCAGTTCGAAGTCTAGCACTCTGCTTTGCTTTCTACTTCTTTTTAAAGTTCATTATGCCTACAACATCATTTTAAGAAAATGAACCTTAAAAAGCCTCAGCTAGACATTGATACAAAACAGACTGAATGTTTGGTTCTGCTTTTAAAGGCAGAATCACTTTTTTTTTTCTTTTTAAACTTGTTTCATATGTAATAACCCATCCTATTGTCTAAGAGAGTTCAAAAGCACTAACTAAATATAATAAATAAAAACACCAGCTGGGGGGGAGAAATAAATCGTGACTTGTGGAAATGATTTACTGGTCAAAACCAGTACATGGGGCCTGATGACCTTGAGAGCTTGCTTCAGTTGGCTTGCTTAAACTTAGATTGCTTTCATAATGTTGTAATATTGCCCCATAAGTGTCGGTGTCTCTCCCCTCCCCCAGAACATTTCATTACACTCCCTTTCTCCCTCTCTCTCTTTCTCTTTCATTCTGCAGAAACATGTGCTGTCAATAATGGAGGCTGTGATCGGACTTGCAAAGATACTGCGACAGGGGTACGATGCAGTTGCCCAGTTGGATTTACCCTGCAGCCTGATGGGAAAACGTGCAAAGGTCAGCTTCTGTTTGCTTTGCAATGCATCATTTGCCTTCAGTGATTCCAGTACAAGATGTAAATATTCAGTTATTTAATCGATACTTTTAAGTTAAGACAGTGCTGGCATAGTGGTTGCAATTGAGTTCGTTAGCTTTCTCCTTACCTACTTTTTCTGTGTTTACCCATTTCAATCATTTTTTTCTCTCTATTTATTAGAGGGTTTTATAACTGCAAAGAAATGAGATACAGAGGTCAAGCTGTTTCAAGATGACCAGAGATTTAGAGGAACAACTCTGGATGCAAAAAGCCTCCAGTTTCAAAGGATAGTCTGCTACCCTTGTGAAACTTCAGTCATCTAATGGTGTCTGAATTTGTCTGTTCAAAAAGCAAGTTACTATTCTCAACCAGTACTTTGTTACCTGCAGATAATCAACTGGCTACTATTAAGTTAAGTCAAGCAAAGGATGCAGAGGTATTGCTCAGGAAAACACAGACAGTTGTCCATTTCTGTCCCTTCAAAACATAAGTAGCCAGCTGCAAAGGAAAACCAGAACAGCATTTACTAGTGCACAGGTCTAAACTGATGCTCAGATTTTCCTGTTCCAAAGACAGCACAAAACCTTGGCTTTTTGTCCTTTGTCAGTGTGTTAAAACTGAGTTCAAGGAAGAGAGAAAAGAGCATCTGATATCACTGTCAACCTGTGTTCTCAGTTAAGGAGACAGGGACGGTTCTCAAATGACCCTGCAGAATCACACTTAGTGGCACATGAGTAGATTTGGATACATGCTAGTAGGACCAGGCCCTCCATCAACCATTTTCCCAGCTTCATATATATTTCTTTTGGGCTCCGTTGCCCAAAAGACATGGTGATGGACATCCAGGAGGACATTGCATGCATTGTTGTCACAGTGAATAATTTTTATCACTCAGTGACTTAGTCTAAGTTGACCTAACTTGCTAAGAAACTACTGGGACTTTTTTCCTTCAAATTAACCAGAAATGTCAGAATATTTTCAGTCCAGAGTTTGAAGTTGCTTAAAATAGTAAAACCCACAAAAATAAACAGAAAATGTGTGGTTTCCTCCTGCTCCAGGCTGAAAAATCCCAGCGCTTGGGCATGATCCTGTTAGTATTTATAGAAATAACAGTCCATTTGCCTGTTTATTTGAAAATAAAACATTTAAACTGCCATTGCACACAATGTTAATAGCTAAGGGTGAGCACACATCAAAAATCAGTCAGTTCAGTTCAAGCCACACAAAAATAAATCTTCGTTTTTACAGACAGACAGGCTAAGCCATAGCAGACCAGTTACAGTGATTCTGACGAGTGCTTAAAAAGAAGGCATTTTAATACTGTAACATACACCTAGACTCGATCATAATGTTTATTATAGAAACTACATCATTAAAAATAAAGGTTGATTCTAAATTTAGACCTTTGGCCATAGAACTAATATGAAACAATATTTATATAATAATCAAGTCTATAATTAGTGCTGCAGACAAAAAGAATATTCAGCTGATTCTCAAACTACCCCAGCTCTAAGCTCTTTCACATTTTTTTCTTTCCCTCTTTTCTATGAGAAGAAAATAGAAGAAGCAGAATCTGTACTTTTATGATACTGCAGAGTCTTTCTCACTTTCTTAAAGTAAGCAGCAACTGGAAATTAGCTTGCATGGTTTAACAAATCAACCAGGCCATTTCTTGTTAACCTTTATTGACATTTTAGGAAATACTTATCATCATAAAATGGTAAAATATATGTTTTGCATTTAATTCAACTATAATTAATTATTTTTCTTTAATGTATTGCTCTGTGAGATTTCTGGGCTAGATTCTGCTTCCCTGAAGCTAAAGTAACTTCCCATTTAAATCTGTGTACAAAGGACCCTGCACTTAAGCTGACCAGTGAAGCTTCTTCTGTAGCTTTCACAGACAGGCAGCTCTTAGTCCAGACCGCTCTCTAAGATTTACATCTTCTGGGTGCAAAAAGTGAGCATTTTGGTGGAATGAAATTGATGCCTTCTCTGCTCCTCTTGCTTGTAGGTAAAGCCTGGAAAAGGCTGGGGTGGGAAAATCCAGTGTGTGCATATTCCTTGCTCTGAGTTCTATAGGAAACAAAAGAAGATAATTATCAGCTCAAGTTTTCTCCATTGCTTTTCTTTTCTTTACTGTCATTGATTTGACTGGTCTACAATTTCTTGTATATATAGTTCAGTTGCCTCTAGCTGTAACATTACATATGTGTGGTAAGAGCACTAGATTTATCTATTGGATGCCCTTTAAAGCATCTTCAGGGATCATGCAGCTGTCACACTTTCTTGGGCAAAGTTTTCAAGTCCGTCAAGTGTCACAGGATCTCCAGGTGATGTTTTTTATGGAAGCATCATTTTAAGGTTGTATTACTAAATACGGAAGAAAGATATACCATTATTTGTTAAAGGAAAGTAGAGAGACAGGGCATGTAAGAAAAGCTGAGAGATAATTGATATATTAACCAAAAAATGCAATTGTGGGTTGACCAAAATGATTAATATGTTTAGGTTGAATATAGCAAATAATGTTGACCAAAAAGAATGTTTTTATTGGAAAGTCTGTGATTTTTCAGTTCATTTTGGCATCTTCCTCTCTAAGACATTTTACATAGTGCAGCTACTATTTGAAATTATGTAGTTGCTTAGATTCAAGAGGCTTAAATATGACTCAAAGAAACATCTGAACTTTTGAGTACTCCACGGTACACATTGTGTGATGTATTAATATGTAATTCTAGTTTACTTGTAGGTGACTTCCTCAATAGCACAATTCTATCATACTGGTATTTTGTGGAAATCTATTGCTACTTTTGTTCCTTATTCTTTAGAAGGGAATCAGGTAAATTAAAGACTTTTTTTTTTAAAATCAAAGAAATAAATATAATATATTTTTAAATAACAAAAATTCTATTAAAAAATCAGGACTAGTCTGGTTTGGGCACTGGATAGACATATAGTGGGAAAAGGAGTTTACTGTCCAAAATGTTCACAGTTTTTTGTTTGGTAGTTTGAATTTCATTAACTGTTTAATATAGAAAAAGGCAGGTATATGTACAAAAGGAAAGGCATTTTTTTTTAAGAAAGAATATATGTAAACATGCTTTATTTGCCAAATGACAGCAAATAAAGCCTATTAAATGTAGCTAATTGTTCAACACTTTGTTTGCGATACTCATATTCTATAGTTTTGTCATAAGAGCCGGGATGGATTCAAATCACAGCGTACAGAACTGAGTCATGACTGAAGCTCTGGTATTTCTCCTGGCCCTTTCCCAATATATCAAAGAACAGAGGTTGCAGGAAAGCAATTTCCAAGTCATACAAGGGACCTACCTTCAGCAGTTTGGGATGTCAACCTCATTCACAGGCTCAGTGGGAAATGAGAGTTTATTGGACCTTGAAGAATCAAGGTCCTTTTGTTCATGTGGAGCGCATTCTGGTTTATATCAAATGTCAATAAGATAGGAAAAAAATTATTGTGGAGAAAGCTTTAGCATGGACTACGTACAGGTAGCTGCAGAGCCACTAGGAAGTCTACTGTAGCAAAAGATTGTTTTGGTTTCTGGAAGCTGAAAAAAATCTTTTCTCTCTCTGATTCTTTCTCCCTTACATGTATTATTTACCTGATCTCATAGTGACATAAAAGTGCTGCCTGTGGTCTAGTTAGGGGGACCTTCAGATGTATTAGTGGTTTCTGGGATAAAAATTCATCAAGCTTTTCCTGATCTTTAGAAGACAGTCTCAAACTCAAGTCTTCCTTCAGGTGGGTTGGCGGACAATAGACAATGCTCCTTTTTTCCCTTCAGCTTTCCTATCAACTTGGCTCTGAATAAGCCAAACCAGAGAAGCTTTTGTCAGCTAAGAGATGAGACATATCCCAGACAGAAAGAGTTCCATCTAATTAATGCTATTTAATTTCTCCCACCATTGTAACTGGGTGATCCCAGCTTGGTGCTGAGTTCATTTGATGCTCTCAATTGTTGTTCTACACATGACAAAACAGTGTCATTCATTTTCTTAAATACCTAACCAGTCATCCCACAGAAGTCAGCTAGCGCAGACAGAAGGGAAACCAAAGGATTAAAAGACATAGTGGGCTGGGATGTTTATTGCGCATTGCCTCCTACCCGATTTTTAATATCCTATATACTGTGCATATCAGGGGTTCTGTGGTCCCTAGCTCCCTTGCTTGTTGATTTCTATGCACCCTTCCTGCTGAGTGCTCTTTTCATGAGTCCAGCTGTAATCTGCCCTCAGTGAGAAGCTTGATCAGTTCAGCATTTTAATTGAATTAAATACAAGTTACGTAGCTGATGAACCAGAGACTCATATGCAAAAAACTTGTGGGGCTCAAGAGGAGTGAAGTCAGAGTAGATTAGACTCAGAACAGATTCTGACAATTGTTTAAACCCAGCTGCCAAACTGGATCAAACAATAAAGGGCTGGTCTGCCCAAGGGCAGCTACAGAAGGATAGAAGACAAGCTGAGCAAGGCAGCATTCTTCTGGGACTTAGAGCGGAGAAGAACCGGGAATAACTGCAAAAGACATCAGAGAGAGACAGGGCTTTCTTTGTGGGTTCTCTTAAGAAGTGGATTAGAGCAAGAGGAAGGGCCACAGGCTTCTGGCATGGTGCAGAATGTGCAACCAAGTGTCTGATGTGCTCCATCTCTGCCTTAGTGGTTTAACAAAGAAACTGTCCCAGAATAATACAGCTTCCCAGCGCTGTACACATAGAGCCAGAGGAACTGTGCAGGGTGCTGCACTTGCTGAACACCTGGGGTCAAATGGCAGATCAAATACCAGTTTTAATCAGGAGAAGAGATGCATAACTGGATTTCTAAGGGTTATGGAGCAAAAGCCACATCTCAAATATGGCTTTTCTATAAACATCTGTAAAGTGCCACCTAACTTTGCAGTGCCCCATAAATGTTTTATAATAGCAAGGTGTGTATTATTTTGTATAGCTAACTTCCTATT